TAGTGATCCACTTAAAAAAAATGATAGTAGGATTGTAATAATAAAATAATAATAACAAATAAATAGGATATTTTTGTAAAAACAAATTACTTTGACTTATAATACTATTAATAAATTAAATCTTGACTAATAACAAAAACTATATCCAAGGGCACTTGTACGATTTGCTATAACTGCTACGAATATAAAAAGATGGAAACAAATTATAAAAGGAAGAAAAATCTGTAATATCGTAAAAGTTTAGAATTTAGCATATTAATTACTATATAAGTCAAATTCTACTATGGGTTTTCAATATTAGATATTGTTTCTATAATAGACCATAAATACCTTGTAATTCATTACATAATTGGTCGTGAAAATAAAATACTAAAAATAACTCATTGAGATATGCTTATAGGGTTAAACCATACAACACCATTCTCACATATAAATATATACAAGAAAAAACACTGCTTGTTCTATATTTTTCAGACATTAAATATGGCCAAGCCCTCGCTATGTGTTTTGGCTATAATGGCTGTCTTCCTTTGTTTCGTCTCAGGTACATGATATTTAATTATTGTTTATTTCATCATAACTATAATGCTAAAAATATGTTTTAATTATTGTTGGATATTTAAATTAATGGGGATGATTTGCAGGTTCACTGGGTTGTGAGGACCACATACATCATATTCACTGTGACCCAACAAACGATCACTCGTGCTTCTACAGTTGCTCGGTCAGACATAAGACTACTTATAACTCAAGATGTTACTTTGGTACTCCTGGCAGAAATGGAATAAACACTAATTGTGATTGCTACTATGATTGTAATGAATGAAAATTAGAGAAACAAAGAAATTATTGAAATAAAAATAAAATCACGTTTGAATTATTCTTCTTATTGTTGTTGTTATTAATGGCTGTGTGTGATGTGAAGTTCTATATATCCAAAAAGTACAAAAGTCTAAATACAATTTTCCGTTGTTTGATATAATCAATATTGCATAAAACAGTATCATGTAGAAGTGTAATTGGCAGGTGAAGAAGATAAACAAACGTAACCATCCTTAGCTAGAATTAATCTTTCACGTTTTGATACAATATGTGGTTAGATTGAAAGATAGATAATAGTAGAAATATAAATATAAATTAATTTGGTAAGTACCTTTTTATATTTCTATTCGATCTTTTTATTTATATTTAACCTATTTCTACATCTACTACATACCATATTTTACATATGATATTATCAAACAAAAAAAGTGCCATATTCAATATGAATATATGTTTATATATCTTGAAAAAAGACAATTAATTTAATATATTATACATCAAGACAAATGAGTAAATTACACATCAAAGTTTTTCTATGTAAGGTAGTTTTGAGTGAATCTGTACTAAATAACATTTTTAATGTAAAAAGTCTTCCCATATGAAATTATTGATAATTAACCTAAAAAAAAAAATGTCATGACAAACAGGTAATTGCACCAAAATATCAAAAATTTTGACTGCTCTTGGCAAAAAACATATCGATTTTAGAATTGTTACCCTTCAAGGGGGACGCTTTATGCTTCTTCCTCTGCCGGCCAGTTGTCATTCGATCATTTTCGACAAACCTAGCACGACATGAGTTAAATAATGTAGGTCACAAGCTTTAATACTAAACGAGGCTACTTATAAGCATTCAAGTTTACCTTTGCTTGGGCTTGAGAACCGAGCTGCTAGTGTTGCTCGACTCCTCAACCTGTAGCCTCTCAGCAAGATGGAAATCAAAATGCTCTTGCCTTTCCTCAACAAAACTAGGCGGCATTTCAATCCCACAAACCGAGCACTGATAATCGTGCAACCAAAAAACGGGTTCTATCTGATTTTCATCAGCATTTACTTCCACCTGTGTATCGAGAAACATTCAAAATCTTTGAATAGCCTGGACAATTTGAACTACTTTTGACCTTAATCCCAAACATTATTAAAAATAAAATAAAAATAAAATAAAAACTGTACGTTTTCTGTCAAATTATCAACCGGGAGATGAAGATGTCCTCTACTTTCAGCTTCATTGTGAGAATGCCACGTGTGAGAGTGATCGAGATCTGGCAATTGATGAGTCTCGATAAAATCAATTGATTCGCATGGTTCAAGTGTGTCATTAATAAAGCTGGTCTCTCTGGGAATGGCTAAAGCATCGTTGCTAATGTTGGACTCTGAAAGTGGTTCTTCGTCTTCGTGCCCTCTTACTGAGGCATTTTCTGTAACTATGAAGTTGTGAAGTGTCTTTTGTTTAGGGTCAAGTGAAGCGCTTTCGCTGCCTTCACTTAAGTGTGACATTCTGAGTCCTAATATATACTCAAAAGAAAGAGAACAGTTTAAATAGTTCCGAACATCAGGTCCACTATTTATCATACAAATTAGATCACAATATGCTTAGAGAAATTAAATAAGAGTCCATCAGTCACACAGGTTCTCCTAATCATGAACATCAATGAATAGTTGAAAATTTTCACATGATGATGGATCATTAAAATAAAAGAATAAGAAAATGATAAGTAGTTGTCTTACCCATCAGTCTAAGAGAAACTGGAAGTTCAGCCTTAAGAAGCTTCATGGCATGTCTCATAATATCCTCACTTGAGCAAATATAATTTGGTAGAGTCACAGCCCGGGTTCGTACCTACGAGTATGATTTTTGGAATAAAATAATCAGGCCATAAAATTTCTAACCCCGAAACACAATCGATGAACAGAGGGAGTGAAGCATCTTACGAAAAGGGCATGTAAACAAGAATTTGCAAAGCACAGCTAATAGAAGTACAAAGGAATCAATGGGACCTCGAGAGCCACAGTATGGTATAAAACTTTTTCGCAAAACATGTAGAAAAGATCACGATTGGCGTCCAAAGATGAAAACTTGAAAGAGAGGAAATGAACATGGAGCAAAAGTATTGGTAAAAGCACAAGAGAGAGCGTTCATACTCAGAAAAGTCGAAAACTTGTGACACTGCACCAAACTTACCTCAAAAGACGATGTCTTCAACTTCAATGTCAAAGTTCTTCCACGAAGGCCATGTTTCTCCAAGTCCGAGGAAAGATTTTCTGAAAGATCCACTGCAAAGGATTTTGTGAAAAAAAAAAATTATTTGCAGTGCGTTTGAATAAGTGCCAAAGATCACCGGAACCTGTTAGCTAAAGACCTTCAACAACTGAACTCATGTTTTATATATGTCGCTTGTCTCGGAAATGAAAATAATTAAAGTGATGATCCACATAACACAGCTACAGCTAACATGATCCAACGAGTAAAAGGTAGTCTGAACAATCTTATCAAGCTCCTCGAAACTAATTATTTAGCTATGACAATGCAGCAGGAAAGAATTTGGAAATAAATAAACCTTCAAACTCAGAAAAACAAGAGGCAAATACAAAAGAGTGAGACATATGACCACAACAAGAAAATAGGATCATCAATCAATTCAGGGTTCTGATCTTAGAGAGCCAACAACTTCGTGTCGGAACTTCTGAAACTTGTTGAAGTAATATCCAATTATATAAGATTAACTATGCACTTCGTGGAAAACTTGTCTGCTTAACTTTATGAAATGAACTACATCAAATAGACAGAGGAGTTTCTCAGAGGGGAGACGAGTAGTAGGATAACTATAATATTGAGAAGCGTACGAAGAATATGATAAGATCTTTTATTTATTACCTAATTTTTTATTAAGTGATGCCTCGTCATCAGTTGGTGAAAATGTTCTCTCATTGCTCATGCTTTTTCTCTGGGTCACTTGAGGTGTATCAGTCCTTCCAATACCCAAGCCAACAGATAAGAAAAAATCTGCAAAACCAGAAAATAAAGTAACAATATATTTCCAGTACGATTGAAAGAACCGAATATAAATAAGTATCATATCTCTTCGGAACTAAGTATGAAATGTGCAAACTCTCAAGCTTATAAGACTAGACTATATAATCTTTCAGACAACATTAAGGTGGGTTCATAGTATATATAAGTCTTAAAATTCACAGGTTCTGAGAGAAATGTGAGTCGCATTCAAGACTACTGAACAAGAGAACTAACTATTTGAGCAACAAACCTGCAGATGTTGGAGAAAAGAGTGCACATATGAAGCTACTTTTCTGGAGCATTCCTTCACATGTAGTAATTCCAAGAACTCCCTTCAAAATATTTTCAGTGACCCTACCAATGCCCCCAATCTACAAGTTGATCTTTGGAAATAAGGTTACAGAATGCAAAAATTAAAAACAAGCATCTTGACCATATAAATGAAAAGGCCACACAAAAATGTAAACAAGCATTGGATTATCACCTTCCTTATGGGAAGTGAAGATATAAATGTCATGACCGCCATACGCTTGTTTGGCAGCACAAACTGGCCATTTGGCTTATTAATGTCTGAACAAACCTTACCAAAAGGAACAGGAAACGGATTTCAGTTCATCTTGAGGATGCAATTTGCAAAAGAGAAACAAATTAGTTACTTTTAATTTCAATAACTAGGCTAAACCTCAGGTGGTTTTTGTGATGAAAACATGCATTGTTGTATATGTGCTATATATATATATATATATATATATATATATATATATATATATATATATATATATATATATATATATATATATATATATATATAACTGGTAAAAAACATAAATAACTACTTCGGCACGTGCATGAGAACCTTTGCAAGTAAGCGATTTGGCGCTACCCCAGCACTACATGTGAGTCCGCCAGTCTCCTTGGACACACCTTCTCTGAGCTCTTCGGCCACCTTAGGAAGCACAACATCAAGAATAAATGTTCATTTGTCTTTTTGTAAGAGAATAAGAAGGAAAGCTACAGAATGAAAATAAACTAACATTATAAAGAATGCCTACAGGATCAGATAAATTTCTGATCATGCCATAGTTCACACACATACTTGTCCAGCTGTCATTCCCTTGTCATTGCAATAGTTAGTTATGTCTAGGTATGCCTCATCCAAACTTGCAGCCAAGAAGTTGGGATCGTATTTCTGGAAAACTAAATGCAGACAGGTGCATCAGATAATTCAGCAAAAGGTACAATATATAATACATCCACATGCTACAAAGTCCGTAGAAAAGCGTAATTCGGAACCTTTTCTTGTTAAACCACTATAATAGGTGTACTTCTTAAAGTCCACTGGAACAAAAATGAGTTCAGGACACAATTTACGTGCAATGAATCCAGGCATTGCAGCTCTCACCCCGAATTTTCGTGCCTGCATAGAAATATTACACATCACCAAAGACAAGCAACAGATAAAGCACATGATAACACATAAAAATACAGCAATATAATATTCGAATGATCAATCATTAATCTCACAACAAAACATACCAACCTCGTAATTAGCTGTTGATATCATAGACATGCTACCAACAGCCATTGGCTTGCCTTTTAGGGAAGGATTGCAAAGTGTTTCAACAGCAGCATAGAAAGCATCCATATCCACATGGAGCCAAAACCTTGACAGGTCACGTGTGGCTTCTAGTTCCACAATCCTTTTATCGGCAATCTGTAAATGACATGTGAATGTCAACTAGAGAATATCTCAATGCGGGAAGACATAAAAAGGCCGCCTTTTACGTCAATATTTTGAAACTTTTAATTCCTTCCTTTCTTGGGCCCACCACATTTCAAAAGCTGAATGATCATGATACAACAGATGAAATATCAATCTTGTCACCCAGTATAAAACCCTAAACCAAGGCTCAACTTTATTAGACAAGCATATTAAGGCAGAATGCAGATAAGTATATACTTCAACATATATTATAGTAAACAACTTGTGCTACCCTGTCTCTGTTTATTTCCCACTTCCAACTGATGTATACCTTCTGATGATGTGATAGATCCGTGGCTGAAAGCTTAGCAAGCTGCACCCGCATAGTGTCGATTTTCAGCTTCATGTAAGCTTCTTTCTTTTCCTCATTTTCGAAATACTTGGATCCTTTACTCATCTCATACACTATCCTCTGGACCTTCTCCTTGTCCACCCCTTCCATTCCTAGTTAAAGAGAAAACAAAGGCCACGCCAGAAACAAATATGAAATACTAACATTATATACTCTGAAACAAAACTAGAATAAGATAAAAACCACATACAACTCGAGTGGAATAAAACTAACAGTGGTAATCGAGCTTCGCTACGTCCGTTGGGTTCAATTGCAACTCACTCAAACCACAATAAAAACAAACCTGCTTTGGCAGTTGTGTAAACAACGTTGTATGATTGCCATGGCCGAGCAGAATCGTTCACGGAAATTGACTTCTCATCTTTCTCCATTTCGCTTCGTCTGATTCACTTTTTCTCGACGATGAAAATCCCGATCGCCGGGTTGTTCCAGAAATCGAACAGAGTGAAGTTTGAAATTCGATCGAGTGAATTGAAATCGAGGATATTATGAATTTAGGGCGCGCCAAAAAGGGGGAAATGCATCAATTTAGGGCGCGGACTATATCGACATTTGAGATTTTGACGTAGAAGGACTTCACGTCTATGAGAATAACAGATTAGTAGACTAATAGTATTGAAATTGCAAACAAGGACACACAATTACACAAATGCAACAATTGGCATTACATGCGCGTGACAGTTGACAGAATAAAGTCATAAAACGTTGAGAGATAAATATTTTCTCTTTATTCCAATTGTCTATCACGCTACATAACAGAATAATTTTTAAGTTTTAACATAATGATAATATATCTATAAGATAATTAAATATAATTTACAACATAATAATTTTAAGTTCTAACATAATGATAATAAATTCTACAAGATAATCAATTATAATTTGTAACATTTTAATTTCTAAGTTCTAACATATGGAATAAATTCTATAAGATGATTAATTATAATTTATAATTGATGGGTCTACTTCTAGATCTGAAGAGAACTGGTGGATTTGAGCTCATATCTGCTTGAACCGCCTCTAAATCGTTGCTAGACCGCGAGATACCTGCAAAAACTCAACGCCGGAGGTGTTTCCGGCGTTGAGCCTCTGACGCTCAAGTCAGTATGAGAGTGATGAAGGGAAGTTGCGCAGCAGCTATGAGGGAGAGTGGAGAATGAATGAGAGTTAGGGTTTGGGGTTACCTCACCTCCTTTATATAGGAGTGAACATTTACCTGAAGTGCCTGAAATGCCCGGTCAGCTGACCTGTAAGGTCTAAATTGCCTCGGTCGATTCGTCTCCCCTTGCTGCTGAGTCATCACAAGATTCCTTCTTATCCTATAGAGAGTGTATAGTCTTGAGTATGTTACAAGTGTATCGAGTCGTTAGTGTATCTCACGTCTCGAGGTATAAGGAGTCGACATCGAGCATGGATGAGTCGACTTCTGGATCTTTTGGTTATTCGGAGACTATGCCTTTGCTAGTCTTCTCAAATGGATGTCGACCTCCTCGTAGTCAACTATCATCAAGTCGACTTCTCCGAGTCGACTTGCATGATACCTGCATCATCCTCATCATTCATCCTGTGAAGAGTCGACTTTGGAAGAGTCGACTTGAGCATGTCGACATCATCATGTCGACATATAAGTGGTTCGGACGATTCTCCAGTCGAGGAGAGAACCTCTGGACCGGAACCTCTCTATATGGTTATATCATCTAGTCCCCCCCCCTCCCCCAAAAAAATTACTCTAAGCAGTCGACTGCTTAAGAGTAAATTTGGTGACGAGTGGCTGAACGTCACGTCTTCCTGCAATATCTACTTGAACCCGCTGCTGCGATGACTCGTCTCGTCCGTCGATTGAGGAACACCTCAGTTCCTTATGATTGCTTTTTTGGATAAAATCTGACATTCTGACACCCTTTTCGAATTTCAAATTTCGAAAATTCTGACATTCTGACATTCTGTCACCTCAACCGCCGACCCTTTGAATTTCGTGCTTCATCAGGATCGTTGGTTCTCTTGTTGATCCAACGGTTAGCATCAGTTACCTTTGTGTATAGATATCCTTCATTCTCTTATAATCCTTTCTTTTTACGCTCGCCAACTTCTTTGATTCTCAAGTTTTTGTTGATTCTCCGGCAGTTCTCGCACTTCAGTTTTACCGGCGTTCTTCTTTTCCGGCGACTTTTAAGCTTCTTCAGAATCCAATCCAACAAGCCACCATGAGTAAGTCCCCTACTTTCTTTTACTTTTCGATTTTCGTTGTTTTTTTCCTTTCTTTGGTTTTTCTGGCTTTTTCAAACCTGGAGTTCATGTGTGTTCTTCATGTTCTTCAATGATTTATTATGGACTTTGTGTTGGATCTTTTTACGTGCATACTTTACTCGGATTTGTTGTTTTTACTAGTTGCCGACTTCTGATGCGCAGTCGACTTTCGTCTGTCACTGAGTCGGTTTCTGTCGACTTAGCGGTCTTTCTCATTTCTTCTCTCTTCTTAGGTCGACTTGTTGATCTATCCAGGTCGGGTTGGTTGGGTATCGCGACCCATTGCCTCCTTGCTCATAGATAGAAGTCGAGTTATTTTAACTTTTCCGCGTTTCTCGGCTATTCTGTAGCGATTGCTTTTTCTTTGTCCCCTTATCCCTTGTCGATTCTCGTGGGTCGACTTTGCTTATCTTGACAAGCCTTAATTTATGACTTTTACTAACTTCAACCTCTTCTTTCTTTTTCTCTCCTTAGCTTCCGACTCGTCTCCTCTCTCTGGCTCCCTCGGTCGTCAAATCAACGATTATACTCACCAAGCCGATGAGGGCTCTAGTTCCGACTCTGTCGAAGTGACCGGCTTTAAGATGGTCTTGTCGTCTCCCCGTCCTTCCTCCTCTCGTGCTTCTGCTTCCCCTGTCGACTGGAATGAATATGACCAAGCGCTTCTGGCGAGCGGTTTAGTCGACATCTCAAAGAGCCCTTCTCGGGAAGACTTTCCTTGTCTTAACCTCATTCCTCGAGGTATACCTCTTAGGTTTTTAGATATTCCTGTATATAGAACGAGTCCCGTATCCGTACCCATAATTGCTCCTCTTCTCGACTCACAAAATGTTGTATCAATAGCTTGTCTTGTAGTTAGGTTAGCCACTCTAAATCCATTTTCTTATGCCTCTGCAGCCGAGGTCGAGGGCTTCAAGAATTTTAGTGGGCTCCCTTCCGACTGGGAGTTGGTCGCTCCTGGCCCCCATAACGATTTCGCCCATCCTCCCCCTGGCTGTCACACCTTTTTTATTGACCAAGTCGTCTTCGGGCTTCGATTTCCGATCCAAGAAGAGCTTATTATGATTAGTAATTTGTACAATGTACCAATAAACCAATTTTCTCCCAATGCCATCCGTACTATGATAGCTTTCATAGTCGTCTCTCGAATAGTTCTTCATTTCTTCTCGCCCGACTTTTTCTTTTATTGTTATGGCTATCGACTTATCAAGGGCGCCCATTGCCTGGTTCGTCGCGCGGGTGTCACATTCCTTGACGACCTCTCTTCGAATGTTACCGAATGGAAGTCGAAGTACGTGTTTATCCGACCAGCTGTCGGTATGTATCCCTATGCAAATACCTAGATAACTTCGAAAGTGAAACAGAATAAGCGGCCTCGCTCTGACGAGTTTTCCATGCTCGTAAAGGAGCTTAATAAGCACACCTACAGTGCTCGTCAATTAATAAAGGACCGTGCGTTGGTCAATCATGCCCGCATCGTTATTTACGAGGATCTTCCTCGTCTTGATGATCCCCGTAAGTCATCCATGCTTCCTTTTGTGAAGTCGATCTCTTGTCCTGGTCATTTGTATTGTGATTATTGTCTTGTTTCGTTGCTAACTTTCTTGTTTTGCTTTCAGTTAAGGCACTCAAACGCTTTGAGGTAAAAAAGAAATAGGTGGCCGAGAAGCCGGCTGGTGGATCCGCTCCTCCCCTCCGCCCTGAGAGTGGATCTGGGTCGAAGCCCACCCCTGCTGCGGTTGAGACATCGGCCGCGAAAAGATCTAGGGTTGAAATCCCTACTGCTGCCAAGCAGCACCAGTCGGGCTCTCACTCTCGAAAGAGGGCCCAAGACGACAGGGCTGTCGTCCTGGTGCCCGAGGAGCTCAAGCGTCGCAAGGTCGACAAGGGCAAGGGCAAGGCCGTCGAGAAGGCTTCTTCTGCCACGGTCACCGTCAAGGACATGACGGTTAAGATGCCTTCTCGGCTCTGGAACCACCCGGAGCCGTATAAGGTGGCCCAGTACTTTAATTCCCTCATCCCCGAGGTCGATAAAGAGCGCGTCGAGGGAAAACTCTACGAGCGCTCCAATTATGCTATCGACAGAGTGGCGGCACCGTCCAATATGCCTTGGAAGCATGACAGAATAATAAAGAAACTTTCAAATGCGTAGATGTNTGTAAAAGTAGGAAATAAATGATTGGAAATGATTGGTAGTTAAAATTATGTGAGTGGATGAATAGTGAATCTATATATATATAATAAGAATTAACATTTTTCAAAAATAGAAAGCAAAAAATAGGGAATATTAATTGCATTCTATTTTTGTATGTTTTTTTTTTATTTTTTTAATAAAAAACAAGTAGCATTTAATGCTAGCATAAATCATAGGATTTGTTATATATATGCATATTTAAATTTTAAACTTCAAACAAAACATGCCTAAATGTATTTTGAATTTTTTAGGTAAAAAATTTAGAAAACACGTTTAAGATTACATACAATACATATTTTTATACGTTATCTTAACATATAAGTTAATTAGTTTCATATCTAAACAATATATATTTAAACAATATATAAACAAATATAACAATTTTTCATACAATACAGACAAATATATAAATAATATTTTTATATACAAATATAATAAACAATACAAACAAATATATAAACAATATATAAACAAATATAATAACTTGTCACGTGTATATTTCGTACAATACATATATTTATATATATTATCTTAACATATAACTTAATTAGTTTCATATCTAAACAATATATATTTTAGGAACCTAAGGATTCATAACATTAATGACGTCATGTATATTTGTAATATATTGTCACGTACATTTTACTATAATTGGTAGCTTTTTTAAAATTATTTGAATAATTGGAGGTTGATTTGTAATTTAAATTTTAAATTAATTCAAACATTAAAGGAAAATATCATAAGTAAATTTTTTTGATACATCTCATTTTATCTCAACTTACATATAATCGCATTCCTACCAAACATTAAATTTGCTTATATCTTTTTAAATTAATTACATCAATAAATAATATTAATATACATTACATATTTATCATTATATAACAAATATATTACTTCTACAAGTGTTATAAATAATAATGACATTATATGATAATAGAGTTTTGATAGATTAATAATTGAGTATTGTGATTAACCAAAATATGTAAAATTATTGTTATTTTGTATTAAAAAATAAATATATATGTTAAAATATTATTTATAATAATATAAACGGGTCAGCATACTAATATATTGTGAAAATAAAGTTTAAAAAAAAAGTTCTAAAGTACGGAAACCCGTGCATCGCACGGAATTCTCACTAGTTGAAGTTGATGTGATGTGTAAGAATGATTGGTTTATATTATTTAATTATATGAATATTAAAGATAGTGGTGTTGAGTTAAAGTTGAGTTAGATTTTGAGTATGAAATAAATAGGAATGAAATAATTTATAAACAATTAAGCCCTTAGCATTCTTTATTTATATGCGTTATAGTGTAAATTTTCAGTAAAATGCGGTGTATCATTTGATATTACAACGTTTGTTTTTTTTCCTTAAAGTTTAAGCGAAATGTTGACACGACATGATTTTTATGTTAATTTGTGTTATTTTATCTTATTTCACGTTATTTTGTATTATTTTACATTATATTCTTACAAAAATATTTAGACAATAAAATATTCAAAAATTTGTAGTATCAATACAATTTAAACAGATAACTTGTTTCGATCATGTGTCCCACAATACCTAATTGTTTCTACTCTATACATATATTGGTATTTAATTGATTTTCTTTGTTAATCAGAGATAAATTTGAAAATTTTAGTATGACTTGTGTCTGGTGGAATTTAAGTTTGTATTAAAATAATATTTAAAATAAAATAATTAAAATTAATTTTATGTAAAAATATGAGATAAATGGTGAAAGTGATAGTTAATTAAAATTATGTGAATAAATAAATATTGAATTAAAATTTATGTGATATTTACAAATGTTTAATTAATATTATTTAATTATGATAATATTGATTATAGTGGAGTTGGATAGGGTGAATTGAAATTAGATATATTTTTTGAGTATTTTGTAAACAAATAAGTTTTTGTGTTAGAAAAAAAAAAATCCTCACGTTTTTTTAGAATTTGTATTAAAAAAATCCTCCATAGCATGTCCTTGGTGCACTGTTTATATTTCTTCCTTCCCCAAGAATTCAACAATTAATTTACTGCCTCGATTATATAACCTGTCCTTTTAGGGCACTGTTTATACTCTTCCTTCCCTAAGAATTCAACAATAATTCTCNAACAATTAATTTACTGCCTCGATTATATAACCTGTCCTTTCGGTACACTGTTTATACTCTTCCTTCCTCAAGAATTCAACAGTAAGTTCACGGCCTCGGTTATATAACATGTCCTTGGTGCACTGTTTTTTTCTCTGTATTCTTCCTTTCGCAATATTTCAACAATAAATTCACAGCACAAACAGGCGAAAACGAACAACTCCCTCAGCCATATTTCTCCGACAGAAACCCCAAAACATCTGATAACTGAAGCACCGTCGAAGATGCCTCCAGAAACCGCCGAAAGCACGTTTAGTGCCTCCTCCGTCACATCCCCGACCCCGCCGAAAAAGAAACGCCGGCCAACAAAGGTAATAGCTTCTCCGCCATTTTATTAGCTCTGTCAATTACCTCAATTGAAGTTATTTTGACAATGTTAGTTTGCTTAATTTATTCCGATCTGTTTTGTTCTGCGGCCAATCTCCCGTGAATTTTTCATTGTTACCGAAAATTTTGGTAATTAGGTTTTCTAATCTATTAATGTAGATGTCAGCGAACAGTGAAATTGGTACTTCAGAAGAAAAGCAACCAGAAGCTCAATGGCCTCCGGAAAATGAGCATCACTTTGTAGATCTTATCTTGGACGAAGTTCTGATGGGTAAATGTATCGGCGGTGAGCTGACCGCCGATCAGTGGTTGGAAATTCAAACGAAGATGACCGAAAGATGTCCCAATTACCCAGCTTATGATATCGCGCAATTAATTAGTAAGCTGCAAAGTTTGAAAGCCCAGTGGAATAGGTTTCACACAATGGTTCTTGCTTACCCACCAAAACTAAAAGATAGGTTTGTTCGGGATGAGAAAACGGGTATGATCATGGAAAGAGTTTTTAAAAAAACCAGGTTTAGTTGGGATGCTAAAACGGGTATGATCACTGGCAGCGATGAAGTTTGGCGCCGTTGGCTTCGGGTTAGTTTATACTTTTTTCACACACAAAAAAATAAAAAAATAAAAAAAAAATAAAAAAAAAATAAAAAAAATAAAATCACATTTTAGCTCTTTAGTTCATTGGCTACTACTAGTTTAATAAGCATGTTTGGAATCTATATTGTGCTTCTGATTTTTGTTTGTTTTTTTATCCTCTGTTTGAGAAAAATGACACTAATCTGCAGATGCATTAGATAATCTGTAATCTGTCTTACCTATGTTTGTTTTTTTATCCTCTGTTTTAGCTCTTTAGATGTGCTGTTTGAGTATGCATTTGAGGGCTTGTACAAAATTTGCAGTGTTTTATTACTTGAAATCTTTTTTAAATCTATTGAACTAGCAAATGTATAGGAAGCTAGCNCTAAATTGTAATTTTTCATGTCGATTTTGTTAATTTTGTTTGTTTTTCTAAAGCGCCACGCAAAGGATAAAGACATGAAAACAAATGTTTGTATGCACTACGAAGAATTGACCACGATTTTCCATGGGGCACTTGCCACGGGCGAAAATGCAATTTCTTCGAACCAAGCACGTGATATCCAGCCTTTGCCCAATCGCCGCCAGAAAAGGAAGGATTATTCTACTTCCAACACGGGCATGCATTCTCGAACTGAAATGAATAATCGAGCAGTAAAACAACAATGTCCAAAACTAACGGACGTGATTGAATGTCAAATACTAAGTGACCGACAAAAAGCCTTGAGTCAGCTTGAACAAATGGAATATGTGACGGAGAATATTATTTATGTAGGCTATCACAAGTTACATGACCCTGTGTGCTGTGAAATGTTTTTGGGGATTGAAAGTGAAGAACAAAGGATGCTACTACTTGAAAGGTGGGTGGAGGAATGCACGCCTACGGATTGAACTGTCTATCTATTTGGCTAATCTTCATTGCTGAATTTTTTTTTGTCTGGGAACAAAAACACTACTATCTCTCGTTGTTTCAATTTGAACTGTGTGTGTGAACAATGATTTTGTCATGCCTTTTGCTGATAATATTGGTAGGACTTTGGATTTGGTTGTAGCCCTTAATTTATTAGAATGTATGCCAATTTAAAAAAAAAAAAAATATTATGAAGTGTGTTGTTCGTGTTTAAAATTTGTGGTTAAATTGCAATTTAAATGAAAATAAGTTTTATTGTACTCATGAGCTTTTTAAAAATGCTACATCTTGGTAAAGGAATTTATTAAAACAAATAATACAACAGAAAGTAAAAAAATATAAAATAGTTATATATATGATATAATAAATATAACTATTAATAAATTCATCATTTAATTATTACTAGTACGAATCCGGGCGATGTGTAGGTAATAATATTATTATACTCTGCATAAATAAACAATAGTAAAATTATATTTATAAATTATTAAATATGGATTAAAAGTATATTAGTATGTAGAATAATAATATAATAAGTGTATTCATAAATTAAATGTAATTAGATGTACAACAAATTGAAGAAGCTAAGCGCGATATTTTGGGGAGAAAAATATCTCCATTTTCTGTATATTCAAAATCCCAGAAATGTTCGTACAAAATGAGCAATTTATAAAGGACCCATGTAGACGTCACTAAGCCAAAGACGACGTCGTTCGAATAAAAGAAAAAAAACGCAACAGCCGAAAAACGACTAACTCCTAAGAAAACAAAAGAAATAAAAAATATCCATGCTAAGAAACTTCAAACTCCAATACAAATAGTATACAAGAAAAAGTATATTTTTTTTTACAATTTGAATCGTTTTTTAATATATGTGGATATTTTAAATATAAAACTTATAATTCTTAAAATTCACTCGACCATTAAATAATAATATTTTTATTATCTAAGATATAATTTTTGAATAGTAGTCCCAATACAAATTATATATTCAATGGAGATACATTTTTTGATGGTTATGTTTACTATATTTTAAAAAAAAAACATTAATGCTGTAAATTATTCATTAAATTAATGTGATTCGAACACAATTATTCTATTTATTTTTATATATTTTAAGTGCTTCTGATCGATGAAAATAAATAATAACATTAATATCTACAATCATGAATGATTATATAACTAATTAAATTAATTTTCATACGTATAATGAATATTTTTTTAGTTCTATCAACAAGTTACTTTGAAATTAATATTATGATCTTATTGAAAATAAATATAATCAATCAAAATTCTATAATTTATAAATAATGAATATTAGTCTTGTACTAAACGAAAAATAATAAATGTTCATGTATAATATTTGCTAATAGATAAAAGTTAATTATATGCTGATATAGATGAAATATTTTCCGCTTAAATTATGTCAACTATAGTGACAAAGATTGGTCGATATAGATTTTAACAAATATTCTAAAACACTTCAATTATTATTCCACACATTTCCCGACTCAATGTCTACCCTCAAAGTATAAATATGACAAAGAAACCACATTACATATATAACAACACATAAAAAAATATTTCACTTATGTAATATAATTAAATAAGATTGTTTTTTATTCATATCTACCTTTGGTTTAGAGCTGCAAATTTGAAACTCCAAAGCAAAAAGTTGCCAATATAATGTGTTCTGAATTTTTCATATTAAGAAAGCAAGATTTTTTCAATATTGGAAAGATTTTTTATCATGCTTGTTTTGAAATACAAATTATGTTCAAATTTTTAAGCAAGTTTTTGTTTTTTCCAAGAAGTACTTATTACTATTATATTATATATAGAAAAAATAGATATTGCTAATATTGAAACAATAATAATATTATGAAAATAATTGTTGATCGATTATAGAAAAACGAAAATAATCTGACGCTTCCATTCCCGCTTTAGCCCAATTTTCGTCTCTCTCACTCCCTCCCTCTCATATTTCAAAACTGAAATTCATCTGTATCGTGTTCAAAATTTCCACCAACTTGAATTCGAAAAGACAAATCCTGCTGGCTGGAAAAGGGAAAAATTTTCTGGTAAATTATTTCTGCAATTATTTATGGCTGTTGAGGAATAAAACCCTGTTTCCGTTCCCCGTGCATTTTAGGCAGAATCACATAATATCCACTGTTTTTATTTTTCACGGGTTGCCTTTGTGTTGTTGATATTCTTACTGTCACGTTCGTTAGTTCGATTTACCACTGAATATTAAGCTGTTTTTTTGTCTCTACTTATCTACACATTGACGGGCGAAGTATTTTTTACAGTCTAATAATGTTGAAGCAATTTACTGTCTATTTTTATATAGCTGTTATTATCTATATCAGAAGTTGGGTTTACTTTATTCTGAGTATTTTGAATTACAGAGCTAGGCCCCAACAACTTCATTTAATACTATTCTCCTTGTTTTAGGGATTTTGTTTACTGTATGTCCTATTTATTTTCTGCATAATTTTTTAGCTATATATTTTGGAAGTAATTGTTGTTAGTGACCATAGTTTGTTTCTTGATTTCTTTGGAACTTGTTGAGTTACAGACTTACAGTGCACCAACAAGCCCAGTAAATATGTTATTTTTTGCCCTATTTAATTTCTGCACAAATTTTTAGCTGTATTTTTTGGAAGTAATGGTTGGTAATGGTCATAGTTTGTTCAGTGGTTTCTTTGGAACTTGAGTTATAGACTACATTGCACCAAATGAGCCCAGTAAATGTGTTAATTGCATTAAGAGGTTGGTGAAACTGAAAAAGAAAAAGTGAAATTTTTGGAAAAAAAAATTTGTAGTAAAAATGGAATTTGAGTGTCGATAAACAAGAAATCAAAAAGGGGCATTCCGAGAATCGAACTCGGGACCTCTCGCACCCAAAGCGAGAATCATACCACTAGACCAAATGCCCGATTTGCTTATGCTTAATCTTGTGATTAATTATGACAGTGTTGACTTTTATGATGATACAGATCTAGCTGTAGGGCTTTGGTCAGAATTAAGCTGCACATGCTCTCCTTTGATCCTTTTGAAAAAGAAAAATAATGCAGCCATAATTTTCCAAGTATTTACTGTTTAGTCATGCTATATTTTTCTTCAGCTTTGTTATCAGCTTGTCCGTGGAGCTGTCTGGCAAACATGTAACTTTAGACCTACGTGGAATAATTACTTCATAAGTGAAGTTCAACTGGCAGGTATTTATTAACTCGTGACATTTTAGATTATGCATCTCGGTTTGAACTATGTGGAATGATTACTTCATGTCTCTTTAGTCATGCTAATTGCTAACACTTATTCAAATTTATATTCATTCTATATGCATCTTGGTTTGAACCAAATAATGTCTCTATGATATTCATGATCAGATTTTAGAGTATTTAAAGACAGAATCAAATGCGAATGAATGAAGACTGAGACAGCTCAGATCTTTGCTAGTAATAATTATTTAAGCTATGCAAGGATCATTTTTTCAGTGAAGCCTGTTAGTTTTGATTGGCTAGTGAGTGTGAATGGGTTTAGTGTAGTTCTTTTAGTTGAAGCAAAAATGACAGTGGAAGTTATATCTGTAGGTGATGGGAGCTATTTGAGTTTTATCAACTATTTTGAAGATAAGGGTGAAAAAAATATTTTTTTGGCAGTTTTTGCTATCTTGTGATATATGTTTTTAAATGCTGTATTTATTATGTATATGGTATTGAGGACAGGTAAAGCTCTGTTAAGCCTTTTGTTATATTGAGTTGGCATTCTTATTTCCACTGACGATATGATAGATAAACATACTATAAAAAAAAATTAAAAGAATTTATTGGGGCATTCCGAGAATCGAACTCGGGACCTCTCGCACCCAAAGCGAGAATCATACCACTAGACCAAATGCCCAATTTGCTTATGCTTAATCTTGTGAGTAGTTATGACAGTGTTGACTTTTATGATGATACAGATCTAGCTGTAGGGCTTTGGTCAGAATTAAGCTGCACATGCTCTCCTTTGGTCCTTTTGAAAAAGAAAAATAATGCAGCCATGATTTGCCAAGTATTTACTCTTTACTCATGCTATTTTTTCCTTCAGCTTTGTCATCAGCTTGTCTGTGGAGCTATCTGGCAAACATGTAGCTTTCGACCTACGTAGAATAATTACTTTATAAGTGAAGAAGTGAATCTATTATTCAACTGGCAGGTTTTAAGTGGCCATATTTTGGAATATGCATCTTGGTTTGAACGATGTGGAATAGTTACTTCATGTCTCTTTAGTCATGCTAATTGCTGACTCTTATTCAAATTTATATTCATTATATATGCATCTTGGGTTGAACCATATAATGTCTATTTGATATTGATGATCGGATTTTAGATTATTTAATGACAGAATCAAGTGCGAATGAATGAAGAGTGAGACAACTCAGATCTTTACAGCTAGTAATAATTATTAAAGCTTGCAATGTTCATTTTTTTCAGAGAAGCATTTTAGTTTTGATTGGATAGTGAGTGTGAATGGGTTTAGTGCAGTTCTTTTAGTTGAAGAAAAATGACAGTGGAAGTTATATCTGTAGGTGTTTTATCATCTATTTTGAAGATTAGGGTGAAAAAAAATATTTTTTTGGCAGTTTTTGCTATCTTGTGATATATGTTTTTAATGCTGTATTTACTATTATGTGATATATGGTATTGAGGACAGGTAAAGCTCTATTAAGTGTTTTGTTATATTGAGTTGGCATTCTTATTTCCACTGATGATATGATAGATAAACATACTATTAAAAAAAAAAAAAGAATTAGTTGGGGCATTCCGAGAATCGAACTCGGGACCTCTCGCACCCAAAGCGAGAATCATACCACTAGACCAAATGCCCAATTTGCTTATGCTTAATCTTGTGATTAGTTATGACAGTGTTGACTTTTATGATGATACAGATCTAGCTGTAGTGCTTTTTGGTCAAACTTAAGCTGCACATGCTCTCCTTTGATCCTTATTTAAAAATAAAAGGAAAAAAATAATAATTATAATGCAGCCTTGATTTGTTGAGTATTTACTATTTAGTCATGCTATCTTTTCTTCAGCTTCATTATCAGCTTGTCTGTGGAATTGTCATTTAATTATTGCATATAATGTTCGCTGTTTACACATTAAAACTGAAATTCCCTGATTATTAAGATGTCAAGAATTGCTCATATTTATTTACTAATGCATGTCATGCACGTTGGGATTCACAGCGAACAAAAGTTTATCAAGTGCTTCTGCAGATGCTTCTGTCTCATTTAGTTTAAATTTAAAGTTTCCCATAATTTGTTTCTCCTTCCAGTATCATCAGCTGTGTGTTAATTCTTATTTAAATATGTATTTTTATTCACATTATATGCACCTTTGTTTAAAAAAACTAATGGCAGTTGATATATTCTTCGTCAGATTTTGATTTTTTAGATATTTAACCGAGTATGAATGAATGGAGAGTGAAAGTTCATAACTTTATTACTAGTAATAATCATAAAAGCAAGTATGAATCAGAAGTTTGTTAGTTTTCATACTGCTCGATATTTGTTAAATGTCTATAACAAAAAATTTCCACAAGTCGATTCTATTTTAGTAAATGATGGTTTGTTGCCATTCCTCATATACTTAAGTTAATTCAAAGGTAGAGTGAGCAAAGATTATAAAGTTGTCTTCTCATTTATTTCAAACATAAACATAAATAATAAAAATCTTCCTTTGTTCCTCATTACTCTTCATATATTTTGCATGATTTGCCATTGACTCAAAAGTTTCTTGTGCTTTCTTCCCTTGTTATGTCAAGAATTAAGTTAATTAGGATTTATTCACATAATATCCAATGATCCAATCTTGGGCTAGCCGTGTATTGCTGTTTTCTCTTGCTGTTTGGTTTGTTTGTTTGATTTACCACTGAATGTTAAGTTTTTTTTTGGTCCCTATTTTTTTATAGCTTGGCAAATGAAATATTTTACAGTCTAATATTGTGAAAGCAATTTATTGTCTATTTTTGTATTATATATGTCATTAACTAAATCAGAATATGAATCTACTTTATTCTGAGTATTTTGAATAACAAAAGTAGCCTCAACAACTTTATGTAGTGCTATTGTCTATTTTTGTATTACGGTTTTGCTATGGAGCCATCGGATGGTTCAACTTATGGAGCCATCCATTGTTATCCACAAATGGTGTATTGACACGTGTCCTGCAATAAATGCAAATTGGACACGTGTCAATACATAAAGTTATGGATGACTCCATAAGGGAGCAATCCGATGGCTCCATAGAATTACTGTTTTGTATTATATATGTCATTTTCCTTTTACATAATTTCTTAGCATTATATTTAGAAGTACTTGTTACTTGTTAGTAATGATCATAGTTTATTCTGTGATTTATTTTGAACTTGTGTTACAGGCTTACAGTGCATTAAATGTGATCAATAAATATAATATGTCAATTGTAGTAAGACAGGCTAGTGAATCTGGAAAAGAAAAAAGGTAAAAAAAAATGGAAAAGAAATCAAAAGGGGCATTCCGAGAATCAGACTCGGGACCTCTCGCACCCAAAGCGAGAATCATACCACTGGACCAAATGTCCAATTTGGTTATGCGTACTGTGATTCATTATGTTGACTTTTGTGAAGGTACATATCTCATTAGAGTGCTTTGGTCAAAATTGAACCTGCACTTACTCTTCTTTCTGGGAAAAAAAAATAGTAATCATGCAGCAATTATTGGCTAAAGTGTTTTCTGTTGCTATCGTTTTTCAGCTTCGTAATCAGCTCGTACATGGAATTGTCTGGCAAACATGGCGCTTTCAAACTATGTGGAATGATTATTTATGTAATTCAAGAGGTAAATAGATCATTCAACTCGGAGATATTTATTAAACAGTCACATTCTTCTGGGAGTTCTTCTATCATCTTTAGCATTTTAATTATGTGCCTGCCATGTTAGTTTCTAAAAATTAGAAAACTGACATCTCTTGATTGATAAGATATCAAGAATTGATCATTCTTTTTAGTTATTTATGCATGTCTTTCATTTTTGGATTTATAAAGAACCAAATTTAGTGATTGCTTCCATGTATTCTTCTTTTTTATTTCGTTTACATAGCTTAAAGTTAACCCTGATTTGTTTTCTCTTCCAATATCAGCTATGTGCTAACTGCCAACTCTTATTCAAACTTATATTCCTTATAAATGCATCTTGGTTTGAACTAAACAATGCCTATTGATATTCATGGTCGGCTTTTAGAATATTTAAAGATAGAATCGAGTGCAAATGAGTGGAGAGTGAAAGCTCAGATCTTTCTGCAGATTAGGTAAAATCTGCAGTAAAAAAAATTGAGAAAGAAAATTCCAGTAGAAATGGATTTAGGTGGCAGTAAACAAGAAATCAAAAGGGGCATTCCGAGAATCGAACTCGGGACCTCTCGCACCCAAAGCGAGAATCATACCACTAGACCAAATGCCCAATTTGCTTAAGCTAATCTGTGATTAATTATGACAATGTTGACTTTTCTGATGATGTACAAATCAAGTTGTGGTGCTTTGGTCAAACTTAAGCCGCACATGCTCTCCTTTGGTCCTTTGAAAAAGTTTAAACAATATTAATAATAACGCAGTCATAATTTGCTGCTAATTAGTATGCTATTTTTTCTCCAGCTTTGTTATCAGCTACTCTGTGGAGTTGTCCGGCAAACATGTCTGTTTACATTTATGTGGAATAATTACTTCATAAATGATGAGGTGAATGTATTATTCAACTTGCTGGTATTTGTTAAATTGTCACATTCTCTTGTTCAAATTTATATTCATTCTATATCTATCTTGGTCTGAACTAAATAATGTGTATAGTCGGATTTTTGGATATTTAAAAGAGAATCGTGTGCGAACGCATGGAGATTTAAATCTCAAATCTTTACAATTACAGCTAGTATTAGTTATAAAAGCCAAATGAGATTCGTTTTTTGCAGAAGCTTGTTAGTTTTGAAAAAGTTTTTGAGTGAGGGTTCATTTTTTAAATGATGGTTTGTCGATGTTTCTAATAATTCAAAGTCAGAGTGAGCTTTTCTATATAAACTTCATAAAGGAACTATTCGCATTGATAGTTTCCAATTTATGAAATAAAATTGGAGTTTTATTGTGTATTTCGAAGATAAGGATAAATGATTGTTCATTGGCAGACAGTATTTGCTATCCCGTGGTATGTATATATTTTTAATGCTGCATTTGCTTATTCTGTACTCTTGTCTCTTGTTACATTGAGTTGCTTTCTTATTCCCCTGTAGATATAGATGTAGATAAACATAGGATTAAGGAAGAAAAAATAAAATAAAATAATATAAGGGGCATTCCGAGAATCGAACTCGGGACCTCTCGCACCCGAAGCGAGAATCATACCACTAGACCAAATGCCCAGTTTGTGTGATATCTGTTTTGCTTCAATAAATTTGGAAGCTGCAATTTATCTTCTAGCAAACAGAGAAAAACAAAAAAATGTGGGGGCATTCCGAGAATCGAACTCGGGACCTCTCGCACCCGAAGCGAGAATCATACCACTAGACCAAATGCCCAGCTGCTTTGTTGTCTGTTAGACAAGCGACTAAGACATTTGCTGAAACATTATAAATTAAAATTTTTCACTTAGTTTGANCTAGATTTTTTTTAAGAAATATATTGAATTGTGTGAACTACCTAATAACTACTAATTCCATATCATTGTCAAAATTTAATCTTTAATTCAGTTTATTTTTTCTGAAACAATTTTTATTCCCCCCAATTATGGTAGTTTTCGTGTAATTGTATTTTCACCCATATGAAACTGAAAGATGAAAATCTCACTTAGAATCCCATCCTTTTCATAAACTGAATGCGCAGTGGTGGTAATCGTCATACAAAACTAAGTTTTGGGTTGGTCTGTTAATGTTCAGGTTCTGAATGTTATTTATTTGGATTTTTGTTTTGAGGTTAAGTTCACTTGTGTGGGGAGTCAGGATGTGCACTGGGGTATATTCTTATATGCTAGCAATGATGCTAGTATAAGAATGTCTCAACGGAACATCCTCAGTAGACATAGACTTATGTGGGGCAGACTTTGGTTTATTGCAGGTGACTTTAATGATATTATGTCAAAATGCTGATAAGAAAGGGGCTAGAGTCGGGGACTTGGGTAGTTTAAAGCCTTTAGAGATTTTGTGAGTGGTATGGAGATGGGGAAGACTCAAACAGTAGGTCATCAATTTACTTGGTCCAATAATAGGGTTGGGGTGGATTTTATTGAAGTTAAATTGGATAAGTTCTTTTTCTCCTCTGAGTGGCTGATAACTTATCCCAAATTCTTAATTAAGCACATTACTTTAACTTCTTCAGACCATTGTATGCTAGTTTTGGAAAGGGATTGTAACCAGGAGTCAAAGAAACCTAGATTCTTTTTTGATAGGAGATGGGTTAAAAAAACAGGGTTATGCTGATGTTGTGGCCAATGCCTGGAATTTACCTGTGGAGGGACCTTTACTGTTAAGTATTCAAGCTAGAATCAGAAATGTGAGGATGAGTTTGTTGAGGTGGAAGACTGGTTCAGTGCATAACTCTCTTAAAATTATTAATCACTGCCAGGCTAAGATAGAGCAGCTGCAGGAGTTAGGGGGAGATAGGGATTGGAATGAGTGGAATAAGTGGAAAGACCTGCAAAATGAGGCTATGAGAGAGGAAGAGTTGTTTTGGAGTAAAAAATCAAGAGTGTGTTGGCTGAAAAATGGAGATAAAAATACCAAATTTTTTCAAGCTAGTCTCAAACAGAGGAGGGTTAGGAATTCTCTAGGTAATCTTGTGAACCCACTAGGAGTTAGATGCAAGAACACCTTGGAAATTGTGAGAGTGGTGGAGAATTATTTTAACGTTCTGTTTGCATCTTCTAACCCGGATTTGAATGCATGCAGTCTGGTGGGCATTAAACAGTCTATTTCTCATGAGATGAACCTCAGACTTGTGAGGGAAGTGGAGGATAGTGAAGTGTATGATGCATTGATGGGTATGGATCACTCAAAAGCTCCTAGGGCAGATGGAATGACTCCTTTTTTTCAAAATTCCTAGGGGGTAGTTAAGCATCATTTCCTAGCTGCCATTAAGAATTTCTTTGACAAAGGACATATGCCCAAAGGTATTAATCATTTAGTGATTACTCTTATTCCTAAAAATCTTTCTGGCATTAGTGTCTCTGATTTTAGACCAATCAGCTTGTGTTCTGTAGTTTACAAAGTGATAGCTAAAGTTTTGGCTAATAGATTGAAATCTGTTCTTGGTAACTGCATATCTGTCTCTCAATCAGCTTTTGTTCCTGGGAGACAGATATTAGATAATGTGATCCTTGCTAATGAGTTTACTCATTTTCTGAACAACAAGAGACAGGGAAAGGATAACTTCATGGTAGTGAAACTTGATATGGCCAAAGCTTATGACCGGGTAGAATGGTCATTTTTTTATCCTTATTTGTAAAATAAATGGGCTTTTATGATAGGTTTATTCAGTGGATTTTTGTGTGTATTAGTTCCACTTCTTTTTCGTTTAATATTGATGGTTAGGTTTTGGGCTTTTCTAAACTATCTCGGGGTATTAGACAAGGGGATCCTTTATCCCCTTATCTGTTCATTTTGCTCTCAGAAGCCTTTTCTAACCTTTTGTCTCAGGCTTGCTTAAACCTTTCCTTTAAAGGTCTTAAAATCAGCAAATTTCCCCTTCAGTGTCTCATCTTTTCTTTAATGATGATTCTATTTTATTTTGCAAGGCTGATTCTTTTCATGCCAGAGTCATTTTGTAGGTTTTACACCAATATGGTGCTTCTTCAGATCAACTGGTTAACATGACCCAGTCTTCTGTATTCTTTTCTAGAAATACATCATTTCAGGTTAAGTCAGATATTTGCACCCTTTTACAAGGTATGGCTTGTGTCAAATCTTCTAATTATCTAGAACTTCCTCTTGGGATTGGCAGATCAAAGAGACAAACTTTTAATTTTATTTTGGAGAGTGTGAAAAAAAAAGTGAAAAATTGGAAAAATAAAATGCTGAGTGAGGTTTGCAAGGAAATCTTAGTTAAGACTGTTTTGGGTGCTCTACCTACCTATGCCATATCCCGTTTTAAATTACCTTTATCTCTTTGTGTTGATATTAATAGGGAGGTTATTGATTACTGGTGGGGTAGAAATGAGAGTGGGGATAAAAGAATACATTGGGCAGGGTGGGATAGTGTTGCTTTACCTAAGTCTGAGGGTGGGTTGGGTTTCAAGAATTTCAAATGCTTTAATCAAGCTTTGTTAGGTAAGCAATTATGGAGAGTAATGACTCAACCAAATCTTCTGGTGAGTAAAGTGTTGAGAGAGAGGTATCTTCATAAGGAGAGTTTATTTACAGTGAAAAAAAAGAGTGGGGATTCTTGGATGTGGAGCAGTTGGCTTGGGACAAGAGAGGGGCTGAACTTAGGACTTAGGTTTAAAGTGGGGGATGGGGCTTCTATAGATATTTGGGATCCCCTTGGATTCCTAATATCCCTAAGTTCAAGCCTTCTTGTGTGTTTGAGAGTGATAGATTAAGATTGACTAGAGTGAGTGAGTTGATGAACCTGGAGAGTTGTACTTGGGATCAGGATTTAGTTAACCAAACTTTTGAGCCTTCTGTGGCTAGACATATTTTGCAAATCCCTTTGAGTCAGTCTTGTCAGAGAGATAGATTAGTGTGGGATGGGCATAAGAGAGGTGTGTTTTCAGTTAAATCCCTGTATAAGTTAGTGATTTTAAACACTTGTCTATGAAACCTAAGGCAGAATCCAGCAGAAGATCAACAGAGGAAGCTTTGATGTGGCAAAAAACTTGGAAACTCCCAATTGCAAACAAATTGAAGAACTTCTTGTGGAGGGCTTGGCATGGCTACCTGGGTTCTAAAAAGAAGCTGTTGAACAGAGGCCTTGAGATAGATGTGATTTGTCCGTACTGTGGGGAAGAAGCTGAGGATCAAGACCACATTTTATTCAGCTGTATCAGAGCAAGAAAATGTTGGAAACTTATTGGCCTTGAATGGAATATGTTGCAGGGACGAGACCCTTCTTTCAAGGACTGGTGGTTAAATATTTCTTGTGCTCAGTCTTTCCAAAACATTAAAGATAGAATAAGTCTTTCCACTTATCTTCTTTGGTGGCTTTGGAAAACAAGAAATGTTTGGCTTTTTGAGAAAATTTGTGTTGCTGAGGAGATTGTAGTTCATAAAACATTGACAGGCTGGAAGGAAATTAGTGGAACTTTTGATCTTGATGGAAATGGTGCTAGTCAGGGGGATTCTACTCTTAATGAACTGGCTGGGAAATTTTTAACTGAAGTAGGGCAGATGACTTTATCTGTCAGTGCTTCAATCACAGTCAGTGGCTCTTTTGAAGTGGTAGGGACTGCCATGCAGTGTGGATCTATGGTAGAAGAATGGCAACAGACTTTTCTTCACAAGGGGTCTGAGCTGGCTGATGAACTTGCACACTGGAAATGGCAGCCAAGGAAGGTTGGCAGGTGGTTCAATAAAGGGTAACAACTCTGAGCTGGTTGAATCTGTAAACGAGAGGAAAGTTATAGGGGTCGATTGCATGGTAGAACTGATGGACTTATTTATTTGTTGTAATAGATTCATTTCCTGTGTGTTTTTAGGTGATTGATTTGCTTTTGTTTTAGTGGTGTTTGTTGGGGAGTTTAGGTAGTTATCCTTTGCTTGTTTACCGGCTATGTTTAGTTAGTATTAGTTGTAATCAGTTGGTTACTGCGGTGAACATTCTCATTTGAGTTTTAATATATGTCTTATCGTTTGGAAANGATCCGTCATCCAATGCAATAAGAGAGCCCATAGCGATGAATGTTTAAATAAGATTCAATTGTTCGTTTCTTTCATTCTGATGCTTTTAGTCCATGTTTCTTTCATTTTAAAGTATCCAAATAATAAGTTCAATAATTATTGTTAACAATGTAAATAATCAGTTCAGTAATATATGTCTTTCATTTTTTGCGGTTTTGCTAGGGAGTTAACAGTTGACTCCATAGTGGAGCCAACCTTCTATATACATCAAATAAACCTACCATATTCTTTAATTACCTAAATAACACTAATATAATTTTAATAAATATGGTAGATTTAGTTGATGTATATAGAAAGTTGACTCCACTATGGAGCCAACTGTTGGCTCCATAGCAAAACCGTCCATTTTTGTATGGATTCATATCCATCTAATTCATTACCATTTGAAACAATTTTTAAACTACAACTTAATAGCATTTGAGATGCTGTTAACAATCAGTCGCACAATTTATTAAGGAGAAAAGAAAGGTAAAAGACAAATTTGCCTTTTCACATACAACATGCCTCAATATTTTCGTCTTTGGTCCCAAAAATTGAAACAACAATATGCACTAAACATCTTAGTTGTATTCGTTATTATTCTATAATACCCCCACACAATTTGCTCCTGCAGATCTCCAGTTCTCTTTAGAACTTCGTACAAAAACTTTTTCAGTAAACAAGCAACAGCTTTTATAATGGATTAAAATACACCTATACCATGAAGAAGAAGACCCACACTTCAACCTATAAATCATATCCTAAATATATCTTTTATTTACATTATTTGTAGCAAACTCTTTAAATGACGTATACACGCCAAGGTTTCAATGAAGGATGATGAACTCCAAGCGGCTGGACGCTTTAAGACTCCATCATGCATGAATCATCTGTCCATTCTGTGACGAAATAAATGATTAACTTATTTAAAAAAGAATTAAATAAATTATAAATGATCAGAAATAGAACCAAAAAGTAACAGAAATCACAGAATGAAGATTGGCAACAGCTTTAGAAGTAAAAAAAAAAAAAAGAAGAAAAGGATAAGGGAATTTGAATATAAGCATCTCACTGTAATCGAACTATTCCTTTCTTTCAGAGTCTTTAGAGCCGCCTCTGCAAATGCTTGAGCAGCCTCAGCATCAGCTTCGGCCACCTCAGCTTCCCGAGCCGCCTCTTCAGCTTCAGCCATGGCAGCTTCAGCTTCAGCCACGGCTCGAGCCGCGGCTTCTGCAGCTTCTTGTGGGGTCATGTTGCTCATCTTGGCCAGCTCCAAGTCAACCTGCGATTTTGATAGCCGATTGACATCCAATTGGTCAACTCTTTCGGGAATTGAAGGCACTTTTCGTCTCTCGGGTCGAGACGAAGGTGCGGCTATTCTGAACTTCCGTTTCAGCTGTTAGAAAATATAATAATTGTTGAATGATTAATTAATTGACGAAGTTTTCTAGCGGATAAATTAGAAGAAATGAAAAGAGGTAGTAGCAATAAGGTTTTCCTGGAGAAATTAGAGAGATGAAAAACCTTAATAAGTTTCCCCATAGCAGTAAAATGTTTTAGCTTTGCAGACAAAATCCTCTTGAAGTTTGGAGGCGCCCAGTATTGGTCCTGCGGGAAGAAAGATAAGTTGTTAGATTAGAAGGAAAGCGTCAGCAAAGGAGACTGAATTACAAGATATGACATATTTTCTAAGATTGAGTGCTAGGAGATTTTCTTTACCTAGAAACTTCATGAATCATAACTAACCCGACAAAGCTCGGACTCTTGTCCATCGTAAAGGACTTCTTTAGATTGCCTTCGTGCTAAATAAGCAATTTAAATTTTTATCTGAGGAACTTAACCCTTTTTTTTATTTTTGAATAATAATACATTAAACCACAACCTACTTCTTCATAGTCACAGCTAGCAAAAAATTAAAGAAAACCGTAACTTTTTGTTTCGTTATCAAAAACAGCCTTGCTATTTCAGCCAATTTCTTCCTGTGACACTGATGTTTGTATAAATTGGAAACTTGTAGGGGAAAGATGCTATCTAACATAACAACTGCCACTAAAGTGATTAAACCTCTGTCTGTCTTACAAGCATATCATGAATATGTACATATTCTCTGAGCATAGGGCAATAACAAAACACATAAAAAAGGTCTTAGGCCATTCTACACGTCGAGGAAGGATGATGAAAGCAGATAAACACAACAAAAGATAAACTATGGCACAAGCAAACAAAGAAAAGGAGGATTATATCCAAAATTATTTGAATTAAACCAGAAGAAAAACCAACCTCTATGTATGCAGCTATGGATGTCTTGTTAGAACCACCGGGCTCCCTCAAATTTTTAATAGCCTCCATTATGAGATTATCCAGCCTATTACAACGTATACAAATAGAGACCCACTGTCAGAGATCTGTGAGATTTGAAGAAAAAAAACCCATCTTAAATCAAAAGCATCATACATGTATCAACATGAGAATATACAAGTAGAGAAAAGTTAACTGCTACACACCACCAGAAACTTTCTCCTTAACATATCCAAGTCGGGTTTCTAAGTCACACTATTCTATAAGAAACACAATCAGTTCTTTTTTACTCAAGAGTTCAACTAACATAATAAATTTTAAAAAAATGAATAAAAAGAAAGATTATATACAAATGAACCATATCTTGTAACTTTCAAATGAAATGGAAGTCAGAATTTGAAAAATACAGCGTTTAATTAACCTCATGATGGATCTCTTAGGGGCATCATTAGGCGAAGAACCTCCCGAATTAGCATTAGTCCTGGAATCAACTAAATCATCACCACTTTGACTTAAAGATGAGCGAGGCATAGAGCTCGCTTTATGTTTGGGTGACGGGTGGATCCTTTTCAGTGTCAGCTTGGCCTTCTCTCGTGAGCCACACCCGTTTGACATCACACCCATATTCCTCCACTTGTCCTAAACCAACATAACTATTATGAAATCAGAAAGAACTAAATTTCTATAACTACATGATCCAGTGTTTGGAGTTACACCATTGCAAAATCACCAACAAATGGGTTAACATTTGCACCTTCAGATCGACGTTGGATCGTAGATATAAAACTCCACTGAATTGCGAGTCCTTGAGTATCGTTCGCCATTTTCCGGGCCCGTGTTTAAGGACACCAGCTCTCAGAGCTGCTTCCTCTTCTGGAGTCCACTTCTGTTTAGGTGCTCCCATTAGCAATTAAGCGCTGAACGAAATTCTCAAGAAGAATCCACTGTACACAGANGAGGAAAATGATCAAAAGCCCCAAAAAAACAGCTGAGGATTTCCAAACCCAATCAAACAAACAGAGCATTACAGACAAGCAAAAAAGTTTCTCGGGCTTTAAAAAAGAAAAAAGAAAAACTGCAATTTAACTGTTCCCCCAAATCTAAACCAACTGAATTTACACAATCTCTGTATAAATTACCGAGCTTCACCAAAACCAAATGAACCAACAAAATCCCTGTATGAGGTTCAGGAAAACAAATCTAATCCCTGAAAAATAATCAAACTTCCATCCACGATCAAGGAGTTAAGCAATTCAGGATCAGAAACGTCGAATTTGGCGCGGGAACCCTAACCCTAATTCCGCAGTCGTTGCAAGTTCATAGCAATTTTGAGGATACAAATGAATTACCTGAAAATTTTGAAAAATTGGACGTTTGTGTTGAGGTGTGCGTGGATCTGCTTGATTTTTAGAAGCAACCCTTTCCTCATGTTCTAATCTTATTTATTTATTGTGTACGTATGCCGTGTGTATATGGATTTACCGGTATATTGACGTGGAAAACAACGCTTTAAATTAAATATAAAAATCACCTCGTATATTAATTTCTGAATACACTGAGCCAAGTGGTATACTCACATACTCTAAATTCTAAATCTTTATATAAAAAATTTTTATGGCTTGTCATTTTTTCTTCGGTACAATAAAGGAGGCCGAAGGCGTAAAAGAAAATTAGACTAAGACTCGACGGGGGTATGAGACCCCACGGATATCATGGTCCAGCCAATCCTCCATGCCTAGCGGGGGAGAAGATAGTCACTGCAACCCGAGGGAAGAGGATGACGCTAGCCTCGCCAGATGGTCCGTCGCGAAATTGGCTTCCCTATGAACATGAATAATCCGAACCGTCCATTCCCTCTGAACCAAGTGTCGAATGGCTTTGATAAGAGAGTCATGATCCCCATGACTGATCGTAGGCCCGAGAACCATATGCACAACACACTGACTATCAGTAAACGATAATTTGACGGAACCCCATATCCCATGCCAGCTGTAAACCTTGAAATAGTCCCCAAAGTTCGGCCCCCGTAATGGTGCTACTGCCTATGTTCATGACGAACCCTTGGATCCAACGACCAAGCTCATTCCGGATGAGTCCACCCGCACTGCACATGCCGGAGGTGTTCTCAAACGCACCGTCCGTATTCACCTTAACCCAACCGGCCATCGGCAGGGTCCAACGTATCCAGCTGGTCACATGTGTGTTAGCTCCGGCCTGTACACAGGCAGCTTCAACCCGGGCATGAGCGCCGGCCAAACGCAATACCTCCGACTGTCGGGCCGCGCAACTAGGAGTTCGATGCTGGAAAACTCGCTCATTCCTCCATTTCCATAAACGCCATATAGTGAAGACAAAAAGGGACCCCCAGTTATGAACTGTCACGAATTTCGTTCGCATGAGGTTGATGTGCAGCCAAGCCCTGAGCGGCTGCCGGAAAAATGTCTCGTCGTGAGCAGGTGGTAGCAAACGGAGCCAGAGGTTGCGGGCAGCTGGGCAGTCGTGTAACACGTGAGTGATTGACTCCGTCTCCCCACAGCTTTCACATGCAGCAGAAATCGAAAGGTGTCGTCGTGCGCGCTCCTCATTTGTAAGCAAACGACCTCTGGCGACTAGCCACAGAAAATTACGGGTTCTCTGAGGGACCGATAGTCGCCATATATCCTTCCAGAGTTGTTTGTCGGGGTCACAATCAGGCCCGAGTAAAGCCTGATAGGCTGACCGTGTAGAGAATTGGCCATCGTGAGAGAGTCACCAAAGGAGGCGGTCCTCCCCAACCGTGGCACTCGGAGGTGGTGTGCCCGCGATCCGAAGAATGATCGGAGAAGGGAGTAGCCCGATAGATGCATTTTAATTTATTTCTATAAAAAAATAAGGATATGATATATTAAAGAAATTGTCCTTTAGTGAGATTTAATTTAACATTCATATTATATATATATAAATAGATACACATTTACATTTATATAAAAGTTAAATTATATACCACTATTAATTAAAAAGAAAAAAAATATTATTAATTAAATATAATTATTTACCAAATTCATCATATAATATGACTTAGAAAAATTACTATAACACTACCAAGTGATAGTGTTATTTAAATATAAATAATATTCATAAGTTTTAATAGATAACTTAGTTCTTATCATAACGACAAATATAATTATTTATTTTATATATGCAACTTAGATTTCAAAACGAAGTTCGTTTAGAGATGATTAATTTGATATATAAATATAAAAGGTCGATCACAAATACAAAAATTATTAACTTTTAAAATTTATTTATAAATCATATATGAAAGGCCGATCACCAATACAAAAGTTAGTAAATTTTATAATTTATTTATAATTTTAATTAGTCGAAAAATTCTCATTCTGCCAAATATCTCTCCAATTAAACTCACTCTTACATCTATTGTTACATTTAATTGTATATATAGGTGAAAGTCATTTCACACTCGTTCTAGTACCGATTTTTAACTATGAAAAATGCTACAAGTACATAATAAATCTATACTTATATAAAAGGGGATCCTATTTACTACATTTAGTATCCAGAAAAGTTAACTGCATTAAATGTCGTTACTATTTCGAGATTAATATTTTATTTAACTGATTTATTTATCTATATATATAATAAGAATTACCATTTTTAAAAAATGGCTGGTCAACTATATGGTCAAATTCTCTCATCATTAAGTAGTTTTCATTAATTACAACTTATTTATTTATTATTTTGTTAGCAAAAACGGACCAACATTAATTGATTTCCTTAAAATGTGGAAGTTGTTGCTTTATTTTTGTATAGAAAATCGGGCTTCATTATAGAAATTTGTTCAATTATACAATGAATTTGCAATGATATAATTATTTTTTATGAGAACTTTTTTTTAATAGAAAAATATGGCATTTCAATAAGATTTTCGATTTTTTAAGACTGATTGTTATCATGCTATGAAATTGAACATTCTAATATACCTTAACAAAATATACACGTGTTGTATACATCAGTTAATAGAAATATAGAATCCTCATATATTTATAAATATGTATGTAATTTTTCTATTACCAAATTTAATTGATAGTTGTTGTGTTATGAGTTTTTCATAATTGTTACTTGGTTGTTGTGATATTTAGTTTGGTTGGTGTCGCAAAAATGATAATCTATATATATAATAAGAATAATCATTATAATGCAAAATAGAAAAGTATTGATATTATAAGAGATTGAGTTCATGGCTTTTCTTAAATCAAAGTTGTTTAATTAGTATACAAAATAAATTATAAAACAATATATGTGTATATTTTGTACAATATTTATACACTATTTAATTTTAAAATTATTTACATATTTTAAATTGATTACTTATATAAATAATAGCAACGTTCATTTAATATATTTCATTACATAAAATAAAAAAGAACAAGAAGACGTGCAACTTCTATAACTTTATAAATAGTAATGACATTATATGGCAACAGAATTTATAGTAAAATAGTAATTAGCTATTATATAGTGAACAAGAATAAGTAAAATTGTTATTTTATCTTATATCAAGGAATAAATATTTATAATAAAATAAATTTATATTAATATAAATGTGTTAGTGAGATAATATATTAATTATTTTACAAGTTAGCCCTAACATGCTCACGTTTAATGTTATGACTAATAAAACAACGCTGATTAAAAGATGTGAAAAATAGATTACAACCCTATTTTTTTAGACTTAACGGTGATTAAAAGAGGTGGAAAATAGATGATAACCCTTTTCAGACTTAAACGGGACTTAACGGTGATTAAAAGAGGTGAAAAATGGATGACAACCCTTCTCAGACTTAAACGGACAGAGCATGTGAAAATAATTCATTTAATATCTCTCTCTCGTGCATCGCACGGGGTACGTACTAGTGTACATAGAAGTGTACATAACACACATGGAGTGGGGTCCACTTGATTTTTTATTTTTGGTAGAACCCAATTAATATGAGTATTATTTACACCTCTATGTAGAGTATTATGTACCTATAACATTTCTCAATCAAAAATTGGAAGCAACACAACAATATTTCAATACATCCAAGATGAAATTGCACTTCATATAACACTCTTCATTTCCACCAAAAAGCCTTATCAGGTACATTAGGGGTGTGATTGGATATGGATTCACCTAAAAAAACTAATTATTTTTAATTCAATCACTTTTTTTTTAAATTCAATTTTAACTCAACACCAATATCCTCAATATTATCAACAAATCTTTCATACACATCACATCAACTATAATGCATTATTAATTTATTCACATAATTTTAACTAACTATCACTTCACATTATCTTTCTACTACTTTATGTCAAATCAAGTCCAATTATTTTGTTTAAAATATTTATTTAATATAAATTCAAAATTCTACTAATAAAAATATCGCTAATAACTAACCATGCTATCATTTTTAAAATTAATTATGGTTAACAAAAAAAAGAATCAAAATCAAATCAAATTCATATCCAATCATAACCTAGGCAACTAGATAATTTAGAAAATAAATTTATGATAGTATCCTCATAAACAATGTCCGTGGCAGGGTTGGAACTTGGAAGTTCTCTCTCTCTCTCTCTCTCTCTCTCTCTCTGTCTCTGTGCGGCAATCAAATCCACTTTTCCTCTAAGACTTCTCCCGTCGATTCACGCGCCTTTCCCTGGCGGGGCTCTCTGAGTCGGAGTCGAACCCTTGAGTAGTTTTTCCCCGTGGATCTGGTGCTAAGAAGGGGTGGCGGGTGGCCTCTTTCCCGGTGCTTCCGTTGCGTAGTGCCTCCGGCGGTTCTTGGTGTTGGGTTGTGGTCCCGTTTTTCTTCCTTTTGAGGGGAATCGGGCTAGAGGGTCCGCCTTTTTCCACCGTGTTCCTCTCCTTCCTGGTGTTGAGCGGAGGGGTCAGGCGAGGCCAGACCGAGGTTCGAGTTTCAGTGGTCTGGGCTGGTCGTTGGTGTCGGTTGTGGATGGTTGAGGTGTGGGTCACCAGGCTCGGGCTAGGGTTTCCGTCTAGATTTGGGTTGGGGTCGTTTGTGTAGGGCCTAGTTAGGCGTTCTCTTGCAGTTTCTAGGTCGGACTCCAGGTCTGTGGCTCGGTCCGCGTGGATGGAGGTATGTTCGAGTTGCCGTTGAGTAGCTTGGTCTTGGTGTGGTTTGTCTGCCGTGGGAAGGATTAATTAGTTGTTTTTTAGTTGTGTTCTTCTTTGTGTTTAGGTTGTGTTTTGTTTCCTTCTCTAATATTGGAGTGTGTCTCGTGTATTCTCCACTTGTTGGAGTTGTTTTTTTAGTGTCCTTTTACTTTTTAGGAGTTTTTTTGTGTTTTGTGTTGTTCTGAGGTTGGTTCTAAGCTACCGTTGGTGTAGTTCTCATAACTAGATTTAGCGAGATAGCAGCTTTATTCGACCGTGTGACTGTTATATTTAGTTGTGGCTGCGACCTAGTTTTCTATGTTTTGTGTTTTTCCATCAAACCTATTGTTTCAAAAAAAAAAAAAAATATAATGTCCAACTCCAACCAAAACACAACGAACCCCATATTTCAGCTTTAGGCCTGATTAATTGGAACTGAGAAGGCGTTTGGCTTGTAATGTTTAAATGGATAGTTACATTTGGACATGACCATTTAAATAACATGAACTAAATGCCAATGCAAATGTTGTAAGGGAAAAAAAAAAGATATAATTCAATAACACAATACTTTATTTACTATATTTGAAAAATAGTTACACCAAAAACCGTTGATCGATATGCACACAGAAACAAGATTTCCCATAATTTTATACAACAATTACAATAAAAAAACATGTTGAAAATCCTAAATAAAACCACGAGTGTTACACCATATATATTCCAATGCATACCCAAAATTCCAAATAACAGTATTAAAAAAAAAAAACACGAAATAATATATGATTGTCGTCACTGTGAGAGAAAATGGAAGGTGATCAATTTTTTTTTTCTTTCCTTTTCTCTCCCTCTCGTTTATTTTGTATGTGTAATCGAACCAAATCCGTCTGCAGAAATTATTCAACTAAAAGCACGCATCCAAGAGGCAACAACAGCAAAGAGCAGCCAAACTGCACATATATTCACACACAAGAAAACCAAAAATAAATCAGATCGGCTAGTAGCCTAGTACCATATATGTGCAACAATATATGAAAAAAAAAAAATCTAATCTAAGGCGCGTGGGCGTACGTACCATCCTTCCATACAACCGGGGCCGTCGGACTTCTGTTGCTGAGGTGGCGGCGCGTATTGGGGCGCGTACGGCGGCGGATACTGAGGCGGGTAACCTTGCGGCGGGTAGCCCGGGTAAGCCCCCGGGGGCGGATACCCCTGTGGCGGGTAGCCCGGATACGCACCCGGAGGTGGGTACGATGGGCCCGGCTGCGGAGGATTACCGTCCTTCGATCCTCCCTCCGATGGATATCCTGTAAATCGAAACCGGTTTATAAGATCATACCAAACGAAAGGGAAGTGAAAATTAATTAAATAAATAGAATATTGGGAAAAAAAATTGTTAGGAAAGTTGAGATAATTAATTGCCTTGAGGAGGAGGGGTGCCAACAGGGGGCGGCTGGCTTTGATTGTAATAGCTCATGATTGTTGAATAGATCAATCGTTATCCCTCCCTTGGATGCTTTTTTTCTTTTTTTTTTTTTATGATTATANATTATTTTTGCAGAGGGGATTTCTAAGATTTGGATTTGTGATCTTGGAGAAATGGAGAGAAAAGTTGGGGGCAAATGAGCGCTTTTGTGGTGGGATGTTTAGTGGGAAAATAGAACCTGTTTTTTCGCGGTCGATCTAAAAATATATGGTTGGATGATGTGCATTTTCCACTGTTAGCGTTACAGGCTTATACCTTATGACCATTTCATTATCACTTTTTGTTTATTTATTTATTTATTTTTTCGAAAAATGGTCAGCTAGCAAATACTCTCTCTGTTTCTTTTTAAATGTCGTTGTAGGATGTCAACTTTTTTACAAATTAGTTGTCATTGAAAATTTTATATTCATTCTTACAACTTTATTCTCTTTAACAAACTTTATCTCTTATCATTATTTTTAAAAATCACCCATTAATAATTCAAAAACTAAATTTAATAAGATTAAAATATAAGATTATTACACAACTCATTAAAATCGTAATTTTAAAGTTTTAAATTAAAGCAACATCTAAAAAGAAAAGAAATAGAGGGAGTAAAGATTATTGAAAAATGAGGGGAAGTTTGTTGTGAGTTACCGCCAATCTTATTTTATGTTTATGTTCAATACCTACCCTTTGTGTGATTACGACTAAGTATGAGTGGATATGGCTCTTAGATTCTCTGCAACCATAACTAAAATTTAATATCTGGAATTGTACTAAAAAATCGAGACAATTCGGTTCGAAGATTTTTTTTGTTCGATTCGGTTCGGTTCGATTCGGTTCGATTATTGTGTCAAACCATGTTGGCAGATTTAATTTCGACAAATAATAAAGAATTGAGTGGTACTAGTTTAAGATCAATAAGTCAATTAATTATATTGTCAGTAACTAAATTAATTGACATACATTAGATATTAAACATGGAGAGATAAATAGATTACTTTAATCTGAAGCCTCAAATATAATTTAGGGGATAAATAGAAATTTCAATAGTACGTTTTTAGTGGAATAAAGTATTATCATGTGTGACTGAAAGGTGTAGGTAGATCAGAGATTTAGAATCATGTTCGCACATGGGGAGTCATTGTTTAGCATCTTCTCAAGGTCCATGTTGTAGCTTATAAATACACCAACTCTTTGATGTGTAACGGCCGCCATTTTCCCTCATAATATACATGTATGGTTTTTGTGAGAAGAGATAAGAAAAAAGATAGTGGCTAAAAACACAAGATATTCTTCTTTATACTTTCAAGTGATCAATCGAGAACATAAAGGGAGACTTCGAGTTCGTCGCCCACCAAAACCTTCAGAGTCGATGTCAATAATACAACTAAATATTCCGAGGTAAACAGAGACGCACGTCACACGCACGAGGCATTGCATGATGCACACCGACAAGGTGCGACACACACAACAACTTTGATCGGCGGACAACAGTGAGACGCGACCAGAAAAAGGGAGACGCGCGAACGAGGACGTTAGATGAGAAGCCCAAACCAATCTTCTGCCCAATAGGTCGTGTAAGTTTGTACATAGTCTGCAAATTTTGAAACCACAAGTGTTCAATCCTATTATCCTAATCTCTAGATCTAACGTGTTTAGGATTAGTTCGTAGATAATTCGCATTTGTATAGACATCAACGTTCCTCACCGAACCCCAATAGCTACCCTACTAGAAAAATGATCTTCGAGGAAAAGATGGTGAGATTTTTGGTAGTCAAGATGAAAGAGATTTTTGGTAGTCAAGATGAAATTAACATTTAATGTGATCCTAGGCCGATCTAGTCTTATTGCCTTTTAGAAATTACTGTCTACCTACCATATTAAGGTCAAGTTCTCAGTGGTTGAGCTCGTATATGAAGAAGAAAGAGATCATTTGATGGCTCATTCATGTTATTACCTCTCAGTACGAGTGGGACAACATGGGAATAAATAGAACTAAGGAAGGATTCATAAGTTGAGAAAGAACCATGGCAGAGGACATCCAACTCCAAGGTGAGGTTATGAAAGTATGATTTGAGATGAGCAAGAAGCACAACAAGAGTAAGAAAGAAACTGGAAGAATGAATAAACGAACAACTATTGTGGGAGTTCAATGACGTGTTTGCCTTTTCTTTTAAGAAGCTTACTAGTATAGACCATGTTGATAAACGGATTTAATCAACATTTTTAAGATGTAAGCAATAGCAAAAACTGTAGAAATTCAAGTTTCATTGAGTTTATCGAGGTCGGTAATAATACAGAACAAGTCGAATTTTCTTATACAAGAGGTCGGTTTCAGAGGAAAACCGAGGTATTTATTGCTCGAATTTAATGTGTCAGAAATCCAGATTCTCGTACTGAATTAAATGCGCCTATTTATAGTAATATTTGGCACACCCTTCGAGGATACGCCGCGGCATTTAATGTGAGTTGACAATGTAGGGGCGGCTATGACATAAGTGGTCGTGCAGACAATGATGACGGCATGGGTGCTCCACCAGTTGATTGACATGCGTCACATTTGGTCGGGCCTGAAGTCGGTTTCTTCGCAAGCTGCGCATCCTCCCGATCCTGTGATGAACTCGATATACCGAGATGTCGTCTTAGTACCGAGCTAGTCCTAGAAAACAATTCCTCATAATTCAATAATTTCGATGATTAACATAACCAGTTTTCATTAATCTTCTCACGGAGCTTTTAGTGATCCTAATTAAAGTCCGATATTAACAGACCAAGGTGTTGCAAGGCATAGAGTAAACATTAATAAAGGAGTTAAGCCGATGAAACGGAATCAACAACATCATGGGTATTAACTTGGATATGATCCTTGAAGAAGAAGCACAGCTCCTACGCACCTAGTGGTGGTTCAATACGGTGATTGTAACAAATGTAGCTGGTAAATGGAGGACGTGCATCGAATTTAGAGATCTAAATAAAGTTTTCCCTGAGAATCATCATACTGTCGAGGATAATCAACTTGTGGATTTAAGATTTTTTTAGCATGATGGATGCTTTAAAGGGATAGAATTAGATCTCTTTGGCCTAGGAGGATCAAAAGAGAGTTAGTTTTGTGACAAGTTTCTGAACCTACTGCTACGTGGTCATGCCGGCTATTATGAAGATTACTGGTGTGACCTATCAAAAAGGAGTTAAGGCGTTCAACTCTGACTAGGGTCTTGAAATGACGTGATCATGCTCGATCTGGAAAGGACTATGGCTATCAACTCGAGTTATTAAGATGACCTGACCATGCTCGAGCTATGAAAACTTGGTGCTTGTGAGATAATATCTAATGTTAAAAAATTGGAATAAATGAAAGTTATTAATGAAGTTAATTCAAAAAGGAACTTCCTGAGGGGAATGAAAGAAGAACTCCTATATCGGCTATGATTATATTCTTCGAGTAACAATATTTTGAAGATTTAGATAGATTTGAGGAAGAAGTAAATTTATGTCTATAAATAGGAACTTACAAGTTCGGGAGAAAAAAACACTATGCAAGCTTTTGAATTATCAAAAAAATAAATAAAAAAAATTAACTTGATCATGAGATACGCCGGAAACATCCCTCCCTCTAGAGTTTTGTAGGTCATTCATTGACAAACATTCCGACTATGAACAGATTTATAGTACACAGTTTTGCTATGAAGCCAACAGTTGGTTCTATAGTGGAGACAACCTTCTATATACAACAAGTAAACCATATCATATTATCTGATTACGTAAATAATACTAATAACTTTATTAATATGATATGGTTTATTTGTTCTATATAGAAGTTTAGCTCCACTATAGAGCCAACTGTTTACTTTATAGTAAAATTGATATAGTACAATAGGAACCCACAATTTTCTATACATTTTGAAGTAAAGTTCCTTTTTCTTTCCAATTATAATCATATTAGACGGTCATACTGTTTTAATATATATATATATATATATATATTTTTATTAAATTGTCCCACTTTATAATACAATATAATTAAAAACTATAATATTTTATAATATAAATATATATTTTTGTTAAAAATTGTAATGTGCAAGTCTAACTACTAATATCATCATTTTTGTGCGGAAAATATTTTAAACGAGCAATCTATAAATTAAAAATTGACCCTGGCGGGCCCTACGTTTAATTGAAAATCCGCGATACCCTACCCAGTATCTAATTGTTGAGAGTCCACAAATTAGTAAATATTGACTGCAATCAATCTATAAATCATATCTCCTTTCTTCTCTTATTATGATAGTTAATACAGCTGCTCATTTACCTAAACTCGCTCCACCCACAAAGAAAATCCCACACACACTGACTTGTGTGAGAGAGAGAGAGAATTCACTATTTGAAACCAAAAATGTCCTTACCACAATTGCTCCACCAACCATAGCCGGCCATGCCTATTTCTACCCATTCCCTTCTCCCCACCACCAATGCCGCCCTCCTCCTCCCCCACCCGCCGCCGCTGACCATCCTCTCTTCTCTGCCATGTCCCACCGCGCCTCTCCCCATCTAGCCGCCGGATCCACCGACCCGCCGCCGCCCCCCGACGAGTCCTTGCTTGTCGACCGCCTGCTGGATTCGGAGTCCCGTCACGCGCCCCGACCCGACTACGTCCGTCTCTGCCGGAGCCGCTCCGGCCTTCGCACTTCTCGCCAGGACGCCATCAACTCCATCCTCCAGGTACGGCGGCGCCATTTTTCCCCCTATTGTCACCATAAATTATCTCTGTTATGGTTTTAATAAGCTTTCAATCGGTAATTGTTCCCAAGGTTCATTCACATTTTGGATTCAAACCGGTGACTGCTTTTCTCTCCATTAGCTACTTCGATCGGTTTTTATCCTCTCGTCCTCTGCCGGTAAGTCCTTCCATTGCAGATACTTTCAGAATAATTTTAGCAGGGATTTTAACTCTTTATTATTGTTTTTTAGGAAATCGGATGGGCATTTCAGCTTCTGACGGTGGCGTGCTTGTCTCTGGCGGCGAAAATGGAGGAAACGTGCGTCCCGATGCTTTTGGAGCTGCAAGCGCTTGAGCCGACGTACGTTTTCGCGCCGGAGACAGTACAGAGAATGGAGCTTTTGGTGCTGGCGACTCTCAAGTGGAATCTACGCTCCGTTACTCCGTTTGATTTCCTCCATTTCTTCGTCTCCGTGCTCCGCCCGTCTGCCTCCGGCTTAGATTCAATTTCCGCCGTTAATGGCCTCGCTTCCAGTATTATCCTAAAGACCACCCGTGGTATATTTAATGATCTGCAATTGATTGTTATGTCGAATAGTTTTGAGTACTTTCCATGGCTTGATAGGCCGTTTATTATATTTTAATTAAATTTTGCACAATCAGTGATAGATTTCCTCGGATTTACACCGTCGGTGATCGCCGCAGCCGCTGTGATTGCCGCCGGCGGCGGGGATGTGAGCCTGCCCGACTCCATCGATGCGAGGATAAGCAGGGTAAGCGGCCATGGGGTGGATTTGGTATTTTTCGGAACTTTCTGATGTGTTCGGGTTGGGGTGGTAAATGGGAATTTCTTAAATTTGTTGGGGGTGAAAATTAAAAAGAATTAAAATAATCTACGTTTGGGTGTTTCTTTTTCTAAATGTATTTTTTTTTTTTTGGCAGGAAATGGTGAGGAGCTGTCTTCAACTCATGGACGAATACCTGTTCGACACGTGTCCATCCAAAGTACTGAGCATCGAGCCAGTCGCCCCGCCGAGTCCGCTTGGCGTCCTTGACGCGGCGGCTTGTGCCAGCTGTGAATCCCATGCCGAGAATCTAGCTTCGGTTTCCGGTTCCGTATTCGGCTCGGACGCTGACCGAGAAAACAAGCGGCACAGATCATCTGAGCCGGATGTACAGGAATAGTAAGGCTTAGATAAGTATCGAAATAATTTGTTTTTTCTTTTTATTTTAATTTAATAAACACTAGTGATAAGAAATTTTGTTCTAATTTCTTAATTTTGCTTATTCCAAATTAATTACATGGCTGGCTATTAATTACTATTACATGCGGCCCAGCAGGTGCTTTGCATAATTATAGCTACTCTGATTTTAGACTTTATCAAAGTCCCTATTAATTGTTTGCCTTTCCCAGTGTATCATAATCTGCTTGTTTGGCTGGGTAAAAAGTTTTCCACCCTTTTTTGTTTTTTTTTTACACAATTACTACAATAATTTTGTCATGGAGAGTAAATTACAGTTTTACCTTTACCCACAAATAATAAGGCTGTAACCCAGTTTATCGTTTAAGAGTATTTTCATTATCTTTAATATAAAGTTATATTAGTACTATTTGATTTGCATACATGTTTTTGTGGTAAACAGTGTTGTACAGAATGGTAGAATAAAAGCTGCAATGATTGGTGTGATGCAGGATCATGAATTACAACAATACAATAGTATTAAAGCTTCTCATTAATTCAACTATATACATTTGATGTGACAATAATCAGGGTTACTCTTATATTAATGTGACAATAATAAATATACATATGCCATCACTTTTCTTTTTTAGAGAAAGAAAAGGAGCAATGGCAATAATAAAAGAAAAAAAGGAGAACAATTAGGGGGCAACGGGATATATGTAGAATCAATTTTGATTGGATTTATTGTTTAAAGTGAAAATTTTTGATAAAGTTGATTGATTAGAAGATTAAGTGAGATGTGATGTAGGGAAGCGAACGAGCGGGAAGGATAAACGAGTAAACGAGATACTCTCTCGTTAAAACTCACAAATCTCACAAATATTTTATTTCATTCAAAAATCAACCAATACTCACAAATCTCACCAATATTTTATTTCATTCAAAAATCAACCAATAAAAATAAATTAGAGGGAGTCATAACCCTAGACTTAACTTGTTCAACAAGACAAGAATTTTTATTAAATATTAAACAATTTCTAACTTATTCTCCAAGATAACTAATAATAATAACCTAATTATTCTCCATCAAATCTGTATTTAAATAATATTTAAAATATATTGATTAAAGTTGATGTGATATAAAAATAGTAGAGATGTTATTGAAAATGATATAGTTACCAATTTAAATTACTTTTACTTTTAGTTACAAAACGGAGTCTATCTAGAACCAGAGTCTCTCTCTAAAATCCCATATGGCGAAAACTTAGAAGGATTAGTTACAAAAAACTAAATCCCTTTTATAATCAAGATTTTTTTAATTTGCATGATAAAAACTTATAGTTTATTTAGCATAGTCTGCAATGAAAATATATTTTAAAAAAATTTCATTATAGAAAGAAATCAAAATATAAAAAATGATTAAAACAATAATCATAGTTGCCAATAATATACATTGAAACTGAGATTTTGAAAATTGTTTTACCTTTTGAAATCGAGTTAAAAAAAAAATCAATAGATTGGTAAACAAAGTATTGATAAACATTACCAAATTTATTATCACAAGATCCAAAATAAAAATATGCACACTTAATATATATCTTAGCAAGAATTTGTAAATAATAAAATGAATTAAATCCCAAAATTTATGGCAGCATTTAATGCCGTATGATTTTTTAAAAAATAAAATAAAAAAATAATAAAATTTACTATTTATGGGCTTACTAAATGGTGACTTATTTTTTTGCTACTATTTTTTATAAATGATTATTCTTATTATATAGATATATATATAGAAAGATAACTTCTTAATGTTTTAAATATGTTTATTTTCAGTACAACTTCATTTTTACTTTAAAATTAAATACAAGGAATATAGTAAATACACTGGACAATAAATTCCAGTGCGTTTGGGTTAGGGTGGGTAGTAACTACTGACTGTGACACAACAGTAGGGAAGGGGCCACGGGGTGATGCCACGTATCCGACAAAAAGTACGATCCTGGTGTTGGTACACCTGTGTGCCTGATTTGGACGTATTACAAAATGTACAATCAAATCAAAGCCTCTTTCTTGTTTTCCATCTATCGATTCGGCGCAGCTTGACCTTTGAAATCCTTGGGCCCGTAGGTCAGGCCTGTTGGCCTTTAGGCAATTTGGCGCAGTTAATATATTTTCAAATGATTTTTTAAACCAAATTGTTAAAATAATTAATATACTTTTTAATAATTTCAAGTAATGTTACATAAATAGTAATATTTAATTGTGCCATTACATGAACTTATAAGAATTTATCTTGAGTTTTTTTTTTTACAAACGAACCGAGCTCGAGTTTACTTATTGTTTGTTGGCTAAAAAATAGAGATTATTATGTTATTTTTTTATAGTTTGATTCGATATCGACTCGTTAATATTGATGAATGAGTCAAACTCAATGCCATTGGCCCATTTTATTAGCAAGTCGAACTTAGTTCAACTAAATAAACGTTCAGGCCCGACTTCGTGTTCTAAGAGTTGGAACTCGATTTAACTTATTTACACTTCTAGCTGTTAGGAGCAGCCTTACACAATATTTTTCATAACTGAAACTTTTTTTATTTCCTTTTGTTTTTTTTAACAATTAAAAGATACCATCCATTGAGTACATCAATCTAGATGGATAAAAGCAATGGTATCTAATATGTTGGAGTACTGGAATCAGAAAACCCATCAAGCATGTGACAAACTGGAATAAAGAGTCCCTCATCTGGAGCCTTCGATTACTATAGTAAGCAAAATTGTGGTGTTATTATTCATACAAGTTGATAAATTACACAATAGTTTTGATAAATTATGAGTGCAAAAATCAACATAAATAGTCCATCAGTTTTATTCATTGACTAGAATTGGTCCTTTTATGTGCCCAACACATGGGGAGCCGAGTTGGTAGTGGATGAGAGTGGGGGACAGCCATAAGAGGCCAACAGCAGCCGTCCATCTGTAAAGATGACAATTGATTTGATGGCTTAAAAGTGGTTTCATCATCCTCCACATCAACACATCAAAATGTCACTCCAGAACTGTAGCTCCATGCCACTACACAAAAGCATAAAGGACAAAGCCTAGTTCTTTTTTTTTTTGTTTTTTTGTTTTTTTAGAATGATTGGATTTGTAGATAAAAACAAATAATTACCTCAAACAATACTGGGAGACATATCCGAAGATGGTGGGAGGCCTATCCAAAGATGGCCTATCCGAAGATAGCCAAGAATTTACACAAACTAAAACAACTTACTCACAAGCTACTAAACTAAACACAAGCTCTAACAAGTGGAGAATTAAGAGAATAAAACTAAGAACAACACAAAACAATTAGAAACAACTACAAAAACAAAAACTAATAACTAGAATAACACTCTCCCCACCAGCAGAAAAATTAAACCGATCCTCCAACCCTCGAACCAAAAGACCCATAGGCGACCACCTAAGAAAATGGGAATAGGTCAACGACCCAACATACGGATCTTGTAACTCCAACTCATCGCTAACAAGACTCGGACCCATAGACCCGATCCCCTTCCCGAGGCAACCCGCCAAGTCAGCACCAGGAGACTCATGCCCATCTCCTCCACCCACACAACCAGCGACCGCGGCCAAACACCAGCTCCTGTCAAAGGCCTCACCAGCCCAGGGGCATCGCCAGAGAGTGGCTCACTCGACCCGGTCTTAATTTTTTGTTTTATCTAAATATGTAGTAGTAAAAAAATATTTTAGCCCATTTTTGTTAATTTAAATCATGATAAAATTGTTTAGTCATATTAATTTAAATTTATTTTATTTTAAACCAAAAAATTATACATATTTTTTGACATGACTCAAACGTTTGATATATATTTTTGCGGTTATAGCTAACTTTGTCATTTATTCTTCTTTGTTTTCATTTTTTAATGTTTGGTTTAAGACACGATTAATTTATATTATTTATATTACCTCATATGTGAAATATGTCAATTACTTGTTAACTTTTAAATAAAATGATATTTGAATATGTAAAATATATAATTTAATTTCAATAAGTTGCGTAGCATATTCTATGAAACAACATTTAGAAATCCACAATTTAAGTAAAATATCATATAACAAGTATGTTGCGTTACCTGCTTATTCAATAAATAACATTCGGACTTCCACAATTTAATTGAAATATATCATATAACAAGTATGTTGGGTTGACCTGATTAATAATAAAACGTTGATCTAGTAGTATTTAAAATAAGTTATATTATTTTTATAAGTCAAATTTAAAGAGGCAAGAAGAAATTACGTGGAAAAAAGTTACTATTTGTAAAAAAAAAATAAAAAAAATTACAAAGTGTAAAATGCAATCGATTTTTGTATAAATACGCCTAGGAAAATAACATAAGGTGTTTTTAATTTAAACAACATGATATATTTTTAATAATTTATTTTTTATTTGTTTTGTAATTTACTTTAAACATTTAAGAAAATATCATACTTTGACTTTTTACACATAACAGTAGTTATATTATTGAAGCCATAAAACAAACTAAGCAAAAAAATACAAACAAAACAAAAATCTCTTATATCCAAGCATGCAAGAGCCGTTGGTGAAGATAAATCACAAATCACAATATTTAACCAAGTACATAAGGCATATCAACTTAGCTCTAGATGACTTAACAAGTTATTGAACCTAGTATTAATGATATACAATGATTAAATACAATGATTAAACACAACTTCTTGAGTGGGGCAGTCTAACCGTTAGACAAGTCAATCTTTCATACTATCTGAACAATAATACACACTTACTTTATCAAATATCATTTTTCTATTTATGCTATTTTTTTTAAAGTATAATAATTTCTAATGAAGTATGTATATATATAGATATATAAGATAACCACACAGGTCGACTGGAGCAGAGAGACAACCAAACCGAACCTGTCTGGTCATTGGGTCGAAGGGAGAAGAGGGTTGCTCAGGTCGAAAGACCCTCTGGTCGAAGAAAACACTGGAAGCCAAAGGAAACCAAAAGGTCGAAATAGAGGCTTTTGGAGGGCCTGGTCGAAGGTCAAATGGAAGAGGAATCTGGTTGATGGATCGACCAGATGGGAAGGGCAACAAAGCTTATTGTCGACGACACCCCACCTTGAGGTAAAAGAGGTCGAGTCCACGATCAGACCACCTAATGAGGAAAGCTTAGAGATAAGAAGAAATCTTAAGGAAATTAAACCCCTCACATGGGTAAACCACATGACACCATCCGTGTGGTCCATGCTTCATAACTGTCTCTGACAGCCTAGATAGCTCTGACAGCTTTGACAATCGAGGCAGTCACGCGCTTGCTATTGGGGAGCTCACGCGCCCGACTTGGGCCTAAGGTAT